GCGCGGGGCGGCCCCGTCGCGGCCGCGGTAGCCTTCTCCTCGGTCCCGGCCACCAGGCGCCGTGGAGCAGGATCTGGACGCGTGGACGTGAGATTGTGAAAGGTAGTCGATGCGCCTGTACACGCTGGTCGTTGAAAGTAGGTATTGATGGATTCCCAGATCCCAACCTACGTCCAGCGCGCCTTCCTATCTAAATAATCGATGTGCTTTTGCTGCGTGTTGTTACTCTCTGGGGGGGGGGGCCTGGACCCGGTGTGCTTTCTGTGTCTGCCTACTCCTTACGACCGGCGTGTACCATTCAGGCGATCTCGAAGCAGAATGCGTGCATATATTGGGCCGGACGAAAGGGGGGGATTGGGAAAGGGGGGTTACAACATCTGCTGCGTGCAGCTCGTTTCGGCCCCACGGAGGGGCCCATTCCTCGATACATGGCCGCCCCCGGCGCTTGGAGGCGCCGGGAAAATCAGCTACGTGAGCTGATTCTCACCCCCCCCTTTGCCATTCCCCCCTGTCGCCCGGCTCGGATGTAGGCACCAGTGCATGGAGCTGCCCCAGGGGGGGCACCGCCCCTCCGCGGGCCGCGACGCGCGAGCTCGGGCGGTGGCCCCGAGTCGGCGCAGCGCGCCCTCCGCGCTGCTGCGGAGGCCGTGCTGGCCGAGGAGAGCTCGGCCTCCTCACGGGTGGGATCGGGCAGTGTCCTTTGAGTCGGGCGTGTCCCTCTACAGGAGGAGTATTCAGAAAGAGTCAAAGCATAGTCGGGTGACCATGTCTGGACGAGTTGTGGACTCTTCCAGCGCTTTTGTGTAACATGTGTTTCGCTTTTCGTCCAAAGTCCGCCTGTAGGGGGGGCAGGCCCGACCTAGCACTGTCTGTGCCGCGCATTGCTTTACTCGGGGGCGGCCAAGAGGGGGGTGCTGACCAGGGGGACCAGGGGGGGGATCATGGCGGGGGCCATGATCTCGCCCCTGATTTCATGGCGCCTCTTCTCATTTCCACGTGTCCCTGGCCCCGCCCTAGGCCGCGCACATGCTGCTGGCCATGCTCGACCCCCCCCCCTGGTGGACGCCCCCTTCTTGGGCGCCTCCGATTTATATTTTTCCACTTCCTCATTTTGTCTAATTGAGGGTATTGCGCCCCTCCACCACTGCACCACTACCCCCCCCTCCCCCAGCACCATTTGCTTCTCTGTCCTCATCTTGTTCCGACCCCCCTTTTTCATCTGCGAGCGTCCCATTCCTAGACTTTTAGTGTGTCAGTACGCCGTTTGTGCGCCAGGGGTCACCCCAGACGTTGCACGCTTGTGTGCAGATCTTCCTAATCGCATCGGCCTTCTGAGTGGCGTCTAGCGACTGACACTGAGATGGTTCGGCTGGCGACGCCCCCCGCGACGAGAGAAACAAAGATATCCCCAAGAAGGCCCAAACGAGGGGTCAGACTGCTCCGAGCGAGACTGCCCAAGAGCGTTCCAAGAGAGCCCAAGACCGCCCAAGAGCGTTCCAAGGTTGCCTGCGATGGCCTCAAGACGATCCATGAGGGTCCCAAGATGGCTCCAGAGGCCCTTAAGAGGACACCCGCGATGACCCGAGGAGGCCACAAGCATTGACTGTCCGGAGGTTTTGCAAGGTTTCTGTCGAGTTCTCGCCATTTTTCGCTGCCGACGGCCCAGGACTGCCCAAGAGGTCCGAAAGATCGCCCCAAGATGGCCCCAGAGGCACCCAAGAGGGCCCCAAGACTCCCCAGGAGGGCTCCTGGAGGGCCCCAAGACGGCCCCAAGAGAGCGCCTAGAGGGCCATGGGATGCCGCCACCAGGGCCAGAGAAGGACCCGAGAGGGCCCGAAGGCAGCCTAAGCTCCCAAAGCTGGAGGCTCCCGAGACGGCCCTATAGCCTGCCAAGAGGACCTTCCAGATGGCCCGAGGAGGCACAACAAATCGAGTTCCCATTGAGTTTCAGTTGAGATTTGGGAATTCGCCTTCCTGGGCCCAGATCGGCCGAAGACGGCTCCGAGGGCCCCCGCGACTGCCTCAAGGCGGCTGGGGGTGGCTCCGAATCTAGTCCCGACAAGACACCCCCAACCCTAATCTGGGACCGGGGGCCCCACTTGCGGCCCCAGGGGTCACGTGGGTGGGCGGCGTGCACATGTAGACTTCGCGCGTGGCTACGTGTGCCTCCTCCTCCACTCTTATCCTCTCCTCCTCAGTGTCATCTCCTTTTGTCTGCATGTCGCTCTCCCCTTCGCTCGTTCTTCCCTCGTCGATCTCTTCTCCTTCTCGCCTCATACTTCTCTTGTCGGGTTCTGCTGTCGTTGTTGCCGCTTGTCCTCCCCCCGTCGTCGTCGCCATCCCTTCCCAGTCCTCACCGCCGCCGTCGCCGACGTCGTCGTTCGTCGCGTCCCCGCCTGGCCGACGCGAGCGCGAGCGCCGCAAGGCCGTTCTGGTCCAGGCCCTTCAGGGCCGTTACGCCCATTGCATGCCTTTCAGGGCCGTTCCGCCCATAATATGC